CTCGTACCATGAATGAGACAGAAGGTGACTTTTTGTCCGAACCCTCGGGCCAAATTTAAGCTCCCCGGGATTTTATCATTTTGCATGAAGCCAAAACATTAACCTGAAAACTAGTCATGTTCTCATCAGGTCGAGACGTTTATATGGATGTCAAGAATCACAATAAACCCATGTAGAATTTTCTAAAATATTAGCTGTATGCTATAGGATTCTTTCTTTCTTTTTATGTGCCGTGTCCCTTAAGAATGTCTGTCTGTCTGTCTGTCTGTCTGATGCGGCATTCACCCTGGGCGGATTGAGCCGGCTTCTTCCTGTTATGAGAAGAAGATACTTGGGATAAATTACAGAAGTAGGGTACCCAGGCCTACTCGGATCACGTTCTTGCTTGCCGCGGGTTTCCCACAGACGCAGAGACAGGAACGACCAGAAGCCGCCGGTTACCGATGCAGACGCTCCTTGGATTTTCACCAGAGCCCTTGTTAGCCGGCGTGTGTGTCAGACCTGTCCGCCTTAGGTGGCCCTACCAGGAACGAAGTTCCGGGCGGCATAGCTCTGACACTACCGTTTACACCCCCCCACCGACTGTGAGGTAAGGGTTGGACTTTGGACACCTGGTACTGTAAGCCCCCAAAGTCCAACCCAAAGTCCTTAAGAATGTAGGCGATCATGATCCTCCACTTCTCCCTATCACTTGTAGCTCTCACTAAGTTTCGTCCCTCTGCCGCCTCCTCCAGACCACGTTCTGTAATTCACTTGCTTAAGCCCGCTAGGTATGCCATGCGTTGCTTTCCCTTGTCTCTCTTTCCCTCTATTCGACCTGTGAGTATCAGATTCTCCAAGCTCTCCTTTCTCATTATGTTTCCCAGAAATATCAGCTGCCTCTTTCTGATATTAACTATAAGCTTCCTCCTTGTTTGCATCCTATTGAAAATTCATCGTTGCTCAGCCGCTCGGTCTGTATCCTCAGCATCCTTCTGTAGAACCATACCTCCGTTGCCTCGAGTCTCTTCTTCATCTTTGAGAAGGCCGTCCAAAATTCGCTGCCGTAGAGGCAGAGAGATGTCACATAGAAGCTCAGTACTTTTTTTCTTTGTTATCAAAAAGAAATCCTCCTGTCTCGTGATACTCTGCCTAGTTTTTGGAATGCGTCCTTGGCCATAATAATAAAACGCAATTATTATCGCCTGAAAATAGAAAAGGAGATGAAATTTTCGTTGACGCACGTGTTGACGACCTGTCTGTGTGAACAGCTTGCCCGATAATGAGAATGTGACGTGTATGGGTAAAGCAGAAAAGTGGAGTCAATTCTCATTGGTTTAGAATGATTGAATTAGTGGATATTATAATTGTTATAATTAATTTATTATAATTATTTTTCGACATTATAATTAACCCTAACTGTCTGTCTTGCATTTTCCTAGGTTTCAAGCTTCATTAGCTACTTAAAGTAAAATGAAAAGCAAATTTGTTGGAGATTTTCAACAAACATTTTTTCATCTTCGTTGTTTACCTTGTAGAGGAGTTGTAACCTTGAGTTTGGATTCAAATGTAGATCAAATATGAATCGGAATCCGACAGGAAGATAAGATAGAGAATAAGTAGTATACACTACTGTCTTTATTGTACGTTATATATAATCAGTGTCCAGATAATTTAGTTAGAAAATACAAGATATTTTGTGGCAGTTTCTTAGCTTGGATTTTTTAGTATTAACAGATAAATGTTACTATTATGGCCTGAAAAATTGAAAATTTCATTGACGCACGTGTTAACGATCTGTCCGTGTGAACTGCTTGTCTGATGGTGAGAATGTCATGTTTGTGTGTGTAGAGAAAAGTGGGGTCGATTCTCATTTGTTTATGATTAAATTAATGATAATTATAATTGTTATATTATAATTATTTTTGTCACAACGATCAATTTTTCATGAACACGACACCTTGACGGTATAATTAATTTTTAATTTATGTATTTCTTTATGGAAACGACAATGTCTACGGTGGTTTGGAAGAAGTTTATAACACAAACACTAGATACCTCCATTATCCACGGTATTTGGACAACAGGTAATGTAATTTTCTAAACGATCTATAAAAAGTCCATTCACATCTGAGCAAGTGTTGTGTTTTTCTGCTAAGTGTCTGTAATTCGTTGTATAAAATACCGGTCTGCCTACCTGTCAGTCAGCCATTTTAATTCACAAGTAGTTTATCAGCCATGTTGGATAACTGATAAACGTTTTCCGGATGTGATGAATCTTTTTAGGTTGCTATTAGAAAGTAATGAAGTCTCCAAGGAGACATTCTCTGTCATCTTATCTGAATCAATTAATTCTTGAAAGTACAAACTGCAGTCGGCAAAGATCCTAAGTTAAACAACGTCTCTTGAGGGCAGACATTTATTTTTTCGCACGTCATTCTTTTTTACCTAATTTACTCCATTATTTTTTTTCTCTATCTTTTGATTCTTTTTTTTTTTTTTTTCTCTATCTTTTGATTATTTTTATTTTTTTTGTTTTTCTTATGATTGATTTTTTTTTTTTTTCTTTTTTTCTCTATCTCCCCGATTCTTTTTTTTTTTTTTTTTTTTTTTTTTCTCCCTTTCTTTTTTTTTTCTTTCTCTTTATCTATGATTTTTTCCCCTGATTTTTTTTTTTTTTTTTTTTTTCTTTCTCTCTATCTCCCCGATGCTTTTTTTTTTTTTTCTTTTCTCTATCTCCTTGATTCTTTTTTTTTTTTTCTTTTTCTTTCTCTATCTCCCCTGATTTTTTTTTTTTTTTTTTTCTCTATCTTTTTTTTTTTTTTTTTTTTCTTTATCTCCCTGATTTTTTTTTTTTTTTTTTTTTTTCTCTATCTTTTTTTTTTTTTTAAAAATCTCCCTGATTCTTATTTTTTTGATTCTTTTTTTCCCTTTTTTTTTTTTTTTCTTATTTTTTTTTTTTTTTTTTCTTTCTCTATCTCCTTTGATTTTTTTTTTTTTTTTTTCTTTCCCTGATTCTTTTTTTTTTTCTTTCTCTATTCTTTTTTTTTTTTTTCTTTCTCTTTCTCTCTATCTCCCCGATTCTTTTTTTTTTCTTTCTCTTTCTCTCTATCTCCCCGATTCTTTTTTTTTTCTTTCTCTTTCTCTCTATCTCCCCGATTCTTTTTTTTTTTTTTTTTCTCTATCTCCCCGATTCTTTTTTTTTTTTTCTTCTTTTCTATCTCCCCGATTCTTTTTTTTTTTTTTTTTTTTTTATCTATCTCCCTGATTTTTTTTTTTTTTTTTTTTTCTCTATCTCCTGATTTTTTTTTTTTTTTTTTCTATCTCCCCTGATTTTTTTTTTTTTCTCTCTATCTCCCTGATTCTTTTTTTTTTCCTGATTTTTTTTTTTCTTTTTCTCTATATCCCTGATTCTTTTTTTTTTTTTTTTTTCTCTATCTCCTGATTCTTTTTTTTTTTTCTTCTTTTCTCTATCTCCCTGATTCTTTTTTTTTTTTTCTTTTTTCTCTATCTCCCTGATTCTTTTTTTTTTTTTTTTTCTCTATCTCCTGATTTTTTTTTTTTTTTTCTTTTCTCTATCTCCCTGATTCTTTTTTTTTTTTTTTTCTCTATATATTTTTGATTCTTTTTTTTTTTTTTTCTTTCTTTTTCTCTATCTCCCTGATTTTTTTTTCTTTCTCTATATCTTTTTTTTTTTTTTTTTTTCTTTTCTCTATCTCCCTGATTCTTTTTTTTTTTTTTCTTTTCTCTATCTCCCTGATTTTTTTTTTTTTTTTTCTTTTTCTTATCTCCCTGATTTTTTTTTTTTTTTTTTTTTATTTTCCTGATTTTTTTTTTTTTTTTTTTTTTTTTCTCTTTGATTCTTTTTTTTTTTTTTTTTTCTATTTTTTTTTTTTTTTTTTTTTTTTCTCTCTATCTCCCTGATTTTTTTTTTTTTTTCTTTCTCTTTTTTTCTATCTCCTGATTTTTTTTTTTTTTTTTCTCTATCTCCTGATTTTTTTTTTTTTTTTTTTTTCTTTCTGTTTTTTTTTTTCTCCTGATCTCTCTATCTCCCCTGATTTTTTTTTTTTTTCTTTCTCTATCATTTGATTCTTTTTTTTTTTTTTTTCTCTATCTCCCTGATTTTTTTTTTTCTTTTTTTTCTCTATCTCCTTGATTCTTTTTTTTTTTTTTTCTTTTCTTTCTCTATCTCCCTGATTCTTTTTTTTCTATCTCCCTGATCTTTCTCTATCTCCCTGATTTTTTTTTTTTTTTTTTTCTATCTCCCTTTTTTTTTTTTTTTTTTTTCTATCTCCTGATTTTTTTTTTTCTTTCTTTTTTTTTTCTCTATTTATATTGGCAAAGAGTGAAAACAAATTCATATCTCTGTAATGCATCGTCCTTTCATTTTGGTATTTAGCACCAAGTCGCACCCCGCCCGTTTAAACACATACAAAATACTTACCCTTTTATATTTTTGAAATGTTATTCACACACACACACACACACACGGAAAATAAATTTCTAACGCCTTTAAGGTCGATCCTGCTCATGGTCTGGGTACCCAAGTACATGCTGAGAGCAATAGATATTCTGATAAAATTTTCAAAGTCTTCGTTTATCTTGTAAAATCTTTCTAAAAAAAATGCCATGTCCCTTCAGGATGTAAGTGATTATGGCCCTTCACATCTTCTTTTCTTAAGGCTCTTGACAACTTTTAGTTCTTCCTCTATTATTCCTTCAGGACATAAGCGATCAAGGCTTTAAACAGGTTCCTTTTCTTTAGTTTCTGTAAATTACCCTACCATCTTGGCCATCTACGGTTTCAGTTTTCCTTCTCTTAGACTGGTTGCCACCTAAAGGGTCTAGTCTAACCCGTTATTTAACCCATAGCTGAAAGGAGAAGAGTTGAATTAATGACTTACCCATGGGTATTGGTGTAACAGTGACAACAACTGACTTGGCCAGAACTCTACTCGCTAATTTCAGTTTCCGTGCTGGTAACTCTATCCGCACATCCATCTCACATCACATTTAAATACCCCGTACGATCACTGAAGTTAAGCAACTTCAAGCTTGGCCAGTACCTAGATGGGTGACCGCTTGGGAATAACAAGCGCCGTAACCTTGGATGTGCGGGTGGTGTAAAAGATAATGACTTGGAATTGTTAATTGTAGAGTCGAGTTCCAATTCCATTTGGTTTCGTTATATTCACAAATACCCTTGGCAAAGGTATGAATCCATTTTTCCCAGAGCCATGGGTTAATTATTAAGACTTGTACCGCTAAATCATTATCTCAAAAAAATTCTTAGTCTAAAATATTTTCTGGCTTTAAATAACCTGCAAAGGGTTAAGCTGTAATAAATGAATCAATCAATCAATCAAATAATGATTAGATACACGGGCATGTCTTTTAGATTTATTCACATTCTCTGTAATATAAATGTATAGAAATTACTCTGACCACAAAGTGAGGGATCGGTTTATATATTGACTGTAATATAGAATTGACCCCCCACTTTATATCCACATATATTCTTGTTTGTTAATAAGCCGTAGAAAACAAACCAATCAATCAAATACTGATGAGCTACACAGGCATATCTTTCAGATTTAAATTCTCTGGAATATAAATGTATAGAAATTACTCTGGCCATAAAGTGAGGGATCGGTTTATATATTGATTGTAATATAGAATTGATCTACTTTATACCCACATTTCTTTTTTTATCAAATCTAAAAAAAAAAAAATCTTTATAATCTAAAAAAAAAAAAAAAAATATTTCCTGGTTTTGAATAACCTGCAAAAAGTTGATAGGCTTTAAGAAACAAATCAACCAATCAAGAGTCTTTCTTTTTTTTTTAAACATATTTTGCTTGCTTTTTTGTCTCTGAACATGCAACATTGAATGAAAATAATAAGAATACCGGAGACAATATTTTTCTACTTTTTAGTCAAATTAAAACAATTTAAACCTGCAAAATAAAATAAACTTGAAATTGTTCCCAGAAAGACGTTTAAAAACTCTTCAGTTCCTTTCATAATCATTACTGCATTGGCGCACTATATGCTGGGTACCAAATATCAGTTTTTGATATAACTTGCCTTATATTTATCAGAAAATCATGATCTAGACTACTATTTCTATTCTTTTGGTATGCTGAATCCATTTTTGGCACTACAAATCCTTAAAATAGAAGTTTAAATGGATTGAATGCCTGAAAAAGGAGAAGGAGATAAAATTTTAATTGATGCACGTGTTAACGACCTATCCGTGTGGACTGCTTATCTGATAGTGAGGATATGATGCCTCTGTGTGTAAAGGAAAAAAAGTGGGGTCGATTCTCATGAGTGGATTAATGACAATTTCTATAATTATTTTTTTTTGATAATTATTTTTGGCACTATAATTAATTTTTATATTTATCAGAAAATGAAGATCTAGACCTCTATTGCTATGTTTCTTTCCATGCTGAATCCATTTTTGTCACTGCAAATCCCTAAGATTGATTCTAAATGGATTGAATGCAAATTTTAAGCTATTGTGGAGAATTTGGGTTCTTCATTGCTGACTAGGGTCTCTCGATTTAAACCCCTATTTTCTAATTAGGAATGTGAAAGTTTAGTTTTAATCTTCTTGGGCACAAATAATATTAATACATTTCTATAACTAAGCTCAAAAATCATGTGGTGGGAGGGGGGTGTCAAAAACTACAAATGTCCACTTGTGAACCCAATGTGCTTAATTATCTGAATTGCCATAAATAATCCATACAGTTTGATATGCCGCAAAACAAAAAGAACCAACTCGAAAGCGATATCTTCCAGATTGTATTTGCCTACAAGACACTGGTTTAATCTCTGAATTATTATTTCAATTGCTATAAATTAAAACTCTCGCTCAACTTTGGTGTTTGTGGAGTGAACATTAAACAGCACTATGTATGTCTACTATTAAACGCTTTTTGCTGACATTCTTGCATATGAGCAGATCTGTATGTTCCATCAGGAACATACAGGCCTGCTCATATAATGTCCACACAATTCAATATGTTCCACAAATTCCTGAGCAAACCACTTCATCAAACAAAGGTCTTCATTGTCTGTCTATATTTCTGAGATAAGGTATTATGTACACTATTTACATTGATCGGACTATCATCCTCGTCTTTGCTGCCATATTTATCACAACGTTTCGGCCGTTGTACGCTCCAACCTTCTTCAGGTGGTTGGAATGTCGAACTGTGCCCATGTGTTCTCAAGGACACCTGGCACAGCGGATAAAGGCGTTAGTTAGATCCAGTAACAGGATCCAAAGAGTGTGGTTGAGGGGGTGGAGAACGTGGAGAGGGGAATTAACAGGAGATAACTGATAACTGACATCCATTAGACATGACACGTGGAACTAGAACAGTCTACACCAGCAAGCGAAATAAAGGGTTCAGTTCGACATTCCAACTACCTGAAGAAGGCCGGAGCGTACAACGGCCGAAACGTTGTGATAAATATGGCAACAAAGATGAGGATGATAGTCTAAGCAATGTCTAAAGGTCTTCCTGTGATTATCTCGAACTAAATTCAAGACATTACTCTTTAATTGAACAGCCGAATAAGAATAGGCCAGCTAAGAACATTAAGAGTAAATGCAATTTTAAGAAACACACACACGCATATATATATATATATATATATATATATATATATATATATATATATATATATGTATGGGGAAAAATTAACACATCTTGAAAAAATCCGGTAATAATTTTTTTTCAGTAGGTAATTTTTTAATACATATCTCATCAAATCGAAATTACAAAATGATTTAAATTTATCCAGACATGTTAAAAAAAAAAAATTAAATTACAAGAGAACAAGAAGTAAATCTAAACTGCTGGACGTAGAAAAATTTGTGGATTTATATTATTGATGATATATATACACATGGGATGACGATATGTAATTTTTTATCTATCAAAGACAGTTTTGAAAGAAAAAATGTATGACCAATCGAAAAAACAAATTGTGACCTGATTCATCTGTTAGGACTTCATCAGACTGGGTTTGTTTACATCGTTGTGACTACACTTGCGTATGAATGAGAAGCGCTGGACGTTTTAAAATTGGTCTTTTCCTTTTGCATTAGTCGCTAGGCCATCCACAGTAAATTTACATCCAGGTTCTTAAACATTACACCATTCTTGGCAGATTTTCTGTTATCACAGAATATATATATATATAAAATTATTTATTTATATATATATATATATATATATATATATATATATATATATATATATATATATAATTATTTATATATATATATATATATATATATATATAATTATTTATTTATATATATATATATATATATATATATATAATTTGTTAAATTCTCAAGTCAGAATAGGAGAAATAACTACATTTTCTGGTTGTGAATCATACTTGGACATTATGAAAATTGGGACTTTTTTTTTTTTTCCAGAACACGTCGAAGATGAAAAGCCCCCCACACACACACACACACACAAATACTCACATACTGAATATATTAAACAAACAACAACAATGGAAATGATTGTTTAGTTTAACGTAACATAAATATTAATTAGCCAAAACACAACACAATTCTAACAGCCAGATGTTTTAATATTCGAACATCTCATATATGACCAATATAGACGTGTCAGTGTGACATAACATACAAAACATGATGAGGAACTGTAGATTAAAGATATCATAATCGATGTCCGGGTGTTTAACAGCTGAATAAATATCAATTAGCTAATTTATTTTTTAAAATTGTAAATACTTCATTACTCCAAATTTAACAGCCGAAGGAAAATAGGTCGGTTAAAATGTTGGGATAAAAAGCAACAAATAAAATGGAAAAGTGAAGTCAAAATTAAAAATGTGTAATAATGAAAAGAAAACTTGATGTCTGTCGAAACAACTTCAAAGCATTACCACTAATTATGACAGAGGAAGAACAGGTTGGCTAAAAACATTGGGAGTAAATGCAATTTTTAACAAATGGAAACTTTTTTTAAATCCTCATACTTGGAGATAATCTTTGTTTTTCTAGATTTAAATTTACTTAATCCTAATCTTTTAAACTGTTTATCTAGCAGCCGATTTTTTTAAATCATGTGCTCAATTTAAAAAAAAAATATTTACAAATATTTTAAGTTTCTTTCAAATCAACTTGTCAGCAATAGCTCTGAAAATAATCCAATAATTTGCATGATATAACATCCCTTTTCTATTAGTAAGACTTGCATTAATTCTTGACCTGACAATACTTATCTTCCTGATGTTCAATGTCTTCCTATAGTAAACTCATTAACAATGCCTTCGCATTACACATATAATAGGCGTATTCTGTCAGTAAAGGTTGTATTAATTCCTGACCCATGACAATACCTTTGAACATGCAGCACTTTAATCAAATGCACACACTTCATGTTAATTTTCCACCCCCACAAAAGCCTCTCCCCTGTGTCCACTGTACATACACACATACCCATATACGTACACACACACATATAAATAAAATGTATGCATATGTATGTACGTGTGTATATATATATATATATATATATATATATATATGTATGTGTCTAATTTTATTGAATATATATATAATAATGTAAGCATTTATATAATTATATAATGACTTTATATGTATATAAAGTATTTAAACATATATATATGTGTTTAAACATACGTATGCGTAATGTATTTAAACATATATAATGCATTTAAACGCATACACACACACACATATATATGTATATATATATATAATGCATTTAAACACATACACATATATATAATGCATTATATATTTATATATATATAATATATTCATATTCCATATAAGGATACCTTTATGTGTGTACTATGTATTTATATTCATATTCCATATAAAGATAATATATATATATATATATATAATTAACAGTACTTTCCTCACATTCCTTTTTTTTGCCAACTCGCTCACGTGTAACTCTGCATTCGGCTCAGTATCAGTATCTACCTACTTCTTTTTTTTTTTTCTGACTGTCTACAACGATGTGAAGTGGAAGATGCGGGGGTAGGTGTCATATTTTTAGGGTTTT